GGCAGAATTAACGGGCTGGCGGGGGTTGCGAAGAAGTGGACGATTATCTCTCACTTGCAACACAAAGGGAACATTTTCCTTCAGACCAGGCCCTGTACAAGTGTGCCTCAAAGGCTTTCACGCAGGGTCCTACAACAAAGCAAGCCGGTCTGGGAAGAAACACAGGTCAAAACTTTCATGCAAAACCTTCAACGTGGTATCTTGTGCATTCTTACTCTGCCCTTCAGGGAGCCCTGTTTTTACAAAAGTTTGGGAAAATTAAAATCACTGCGAGAAGTACCAGAACCTATGGATTCTGTGGGATTTCAAGTCAAATTCATACAATTCCTTCCAAGATATGCTGTTGGTTGTTTCATTTAGTTTGTCAGTGCCATGTTTAATTCACCTGGTTCAACTAAATCCACTAGCACGTATTAAAAAAACACGCCAGCCTCACTCCAGCCCCTACTTCCACCAGCATCTGCCCAAAAAATCAGGGCAACATGGGTTCCCCCACTACACACAATGCGCAAAAACTCGCTAGCAGAGCTAAATGAACCTCAGCAGGGCCACACATCACACCAAAACTCTGGCGCAAATCCCGTTTAGCGGGATATTTTTTTAAACTCACTTTTTCTCCAAACTCTATCTTCGCCCAGCCACAGGGCGATGGTGGCACCGAATTTGGCATTTTATTTGCAACGATGCTGGCAGAGCAAGTCAGGCTGGCTCAGGCCACCACTTCCCACGAGAACATCCTCAACGTACGCAGCAGCAGCAGCTTGAGGTGTTTCACCCACTCGCACCTTGCCCCTTTCTTTCGCTGTCGTCCAAAGGAATACTGTTTAGTCCCAATAAAGGCAAAGCCAAGGAGGGGGAGGAAGGTGAGTCCGTTCACAAGGTCATTTACAATAGATTTAGAGTGAGGGCGAATACAGCTAATGCACGTGTAATGTTTCAACACCCACCCCCCTTTCCTGTAAATTCCTGCAGGATTTTGCCAGCAGAAAGAATACGTGTGCTAGAAATAAGGGAATTACAAAAGAAAGAAAGGAAGGGAGTGTAAGCAGTGGGAATAGGAAAAAATAGCTAAACAGATACCTTTCAATTTACATACACACCCTTCTCGCATAAACCACGGGTAGCAATTGGCTAACTAACTATTAATCGTTCATTAATCGGCTTATCTTCTGAGAACAGGGCTGGGTGTACACTGTACATAACAATTAACTACTTTAAGTTCACATCTGTCCCAAGGATTCCCCAACATCTCCCCAACATTACAGCTTTTGTTTTTAAGGCAAGCATCAGCAACGCTCTTTTCCCTTTGATACTACATATATTTGTGTGTGTATAAAAAGCTGTAAGTAACCAGGTAGATTTGAGATGTCGCCATTCATCGTGAGCAGCTGAACCTGAGACCCTCAGAGTTGCCAGCAGAAGCCTTTATCCCATCAAGATGCTCATTCCTGGGCAGCCGTGTTTTCCATTGTTTTCCATAGGATCTCTCTGACTCAGCTGCTAGCAGGAAACGCATAGCACTCTGAACAATGAAGCACGGGTGATTACTGAAAATAAGTGTTCTCCATTACAAGTAATTCCAGGCTACATTTCTCTTCGTTTCCAAATTTAAAAAAAAAAAAAAAAAAAGACATGCATGGATTCTTGAACTTCATTTTTTTTAATTCAAATAAATGGACTTTGAAGGAGGAAAAAAAAATAAAGCTTTTGCACAGCGAACTGTTTCTATATACAGCTATAAACAGGCATATAGCTGGTCTATAATAAAGCAAACTGTGCCAATCAATTCAGGCACAGATTCTCCAAATTAGACATACTACCCACAGTTACCGTCTGAGCTATTCCAAGCAACGCTGAAGAAAACAAACATTTTCCTATCAGTCTGCCTTCTCAACGCAACCGGTTCGGCCAAGGCGGGTGACAGGAGGGGGGATGCTTTGGTGGAACAAGAGAGGGTCGTGTTGCGCACGCTGGAGGTACAAACCTGTGACTCTCCTCAGGGGACTGGGACACCTTTTGCCCGGAGGTGATGGTGCCTGTGGTTCAGCTGGAGTAGCAGAGGGTCCCCGCTGGCAGGGCAGGGGGGTGGAACTAGGGCAGAGGTGGGTGGAAGCTTTTCTCCACATGACTGAAGTTTGAAACAGCAGCTTGGGCATTGCTGCAATCGTATTTCAAGTTGTCCAAGATAGACAAGCAGGTGACTGAATCTGTCCTTTTGGAAACAAAACTTTATTTAAAAAAAATTAGTAACTATAGTTGAAATTATAACAATCTGATTGAAATCAATTTATATCGTTACTATTACTCCCAGAGCAATTCCAACGATGGGAAAAGTCGTAAGCAGGCCATGTTTGCTGCTGAAGTTGTAAGCAAAGTCAAACCGCTGAAATGGATGAAGTCACTGAACAGAAGAAACCATCAGAAACCACAGCTATCTCTCCAGAGCCAGCAGGCAGCTCTCCCATCAATGCAAAGAAACATTCACTTAGTTTCAGTTCATTCAGATAATCGCATTCCATATGCGCTGTTAATTCACATTTGAACTAATTGGCGTATAAAAGATGTTCCTACTTTATGTGGGAAAAGCAGCGTACGGTGTTAAGAAGCACTAGTGCTAAAATCCTCCAGGATTACAACCTACCACGAATAATCAGGAATACTTTGTCTCATTGCCAGGTTTAATCAAAACATATTTTAGTCAACTTATTTCTCCAGCATGTTAAAGATATTGCCAACTAATTAAAAGAATTCTAAATAACTGCTTTTCTGCAAGTAATTTGAATTCCAGTTTCCAGCTGAATAAAACTTGCCGCAAATCATGAATACATGAACAACTGTCTAATAGGAATATATAGGCAACTTTTACTATTTCTTAATATATGAAAAATAAAATGTTAAGAGCCCAAATCACAACATCAGGCTGGCAATGGCTTTAAAACACACTCATGTGTTATTCAGAAAAAGGAAAAAAAGAGGCAGCCACCCTTTCTGATGTTACAAATTCCCTACTGAAGCCTCCACATGGTTCACCTTCACGAAACACATGCCACATACATGTGAAAGCTGTGGGAAAGATGGAGACCCCAGAGGTTCTCTGGCAGGAGATGCCGGGAGCCGCTCAGGACACAGTGGCAGGGAGGGGACAGGCTGGTCACACACACATAGGGACTGCCCTGCTCACACCCACAAGTGGGCTGTAGACCACCGCATTACTCACCAGCCCTGTGGACAGACATGCTCCAGTCTGGGTGTAGGATGTGCAGCTACACAGCTCACGAACAAGTTGGCCACCCTTGATATGACGCATCCCCAGGGGGCACAAAGGATGGCCAAATGTAGTTTAAAAGCTGTATGTAATTGCGTGAAAAAAATGTTGATTTCGTTACCAACAGAGAGGGGAAGAAATCTTTTAGGGAGGGATAGCAGGGAAACTTGACCTAGAGTACAAATACAAAACATGACAGAAATTGATTATCTGAATGAAGCTTTCCCACTTGCTGGTCTAAACCATAATTAAACTGGCGATTCAAATCAACGTGGCCTGGTGTTGTCTTATCTTCTTAAGTTTCATATATTTTATTTACATGTAATTAGTAAACTTCCTATGACATGTCCTGGATTTTAGAGTGCACGAGCTAGTGAATGATAAGTGATGAAAATGCTGCACCACTGCTTTTCCATTAAAGCGCAAATAATGTCAACAGAAGTCAGGAATAAGTTCCAGTAACTAGGAAATGGCATGAGAGAAATGTCTCCCTGCTTATTCAAATCTTAAGCTGGGGAAAAGTGAGGAGCAGTATTAGCATTAATTAGACTGCCAGCTACTATGCAGATCTCCTGCACCAAAGTGTAAAATCCCAAATTGGCACAAGCCTGTTAGAACAGAGCACTTTTACTGTCTGAGGAAAAACAAGAAAAAGGAGAGCAATTGCAGCTTTACATCAAGTATATTTCATAATTGTTTGTTAAAATATGTACCCACATCATAAAACACTTTTAAAAAAACAAGTATTTTTAAATGTACAATAATGAAAAAATATGTCTAAATATGTATCCAATGCAAAAAAAATAAACCATTTAATAAAATCTCCCTTCAAATGTCCCCTTGCTCTTCAACACCTTAAAAAAAAAAGAGGAAAGAGCTCAGTAAACAAACAGGAGTTAAAACACAAACTAACCAACAGACAAAAGCAGTGCAAAGCAAATGCTTAAGAATGGAGAGGTATCCAATTCAGCTTCCCATTCCCCTGGATTACACCACAACTACAGCGCCATTTGTCCTATGCCAGTTGAATTCTGGTTTTAAAAAGTCAGCCTGGTGTCCAAGCTATAAAAGGCTGCCTGTAGCATTCATCTTCCACACGAGCAAAAAAAGTTAATGATAACCCACCTAAGCACCCTTTAAACCCCCTTAAACAGGGGTGAATTTCACCCTAGGTAAATGTTTTGTGTTCCATGTACTCCTGTACTGCCAAGCACAGAGATCCCGTCCAACAAACAATATGGACTAAAGTCTACCTGCACAACTGTGGTGCAAGAGAGACTTCGGCTGTTTCATGGTTAATTGTTTAGTTACCTCTTCTTTCTGCATTCTCTAATAAACTGCAAGGAGGGCTCTGGTCGTACAATTTCAGTAAGTCCAGTATCTTGTATTTGTGACGTTGCATTTTCACTGGTACTTGGGCTCCTAAATATTTTTGAAGACTAGGTCTGAATGTCTGAGTTAAATAAGACACAAGAAAATGCTGATCTGGTTCTTATTTGCATGTGTTCAGGTGACTGATGTATATCCTTGATCTTGCTAGAGTAACTACCCTCAGAGTACAGTCGGCTGTATGTGAAATACAGCTCTTGTTTGCAAGAGCACTCTGAGGAGGTTTTGGTATTGTTCCCTATAGGAAAGGTGGCACGAATTGAAGCTCCGTTTAAAAAACCTGCTTATAAGGCACTGGTGCAGCAAGGTTTGTGACGAACATGGTTTTATGATTTCTCTTTTCCAACTGTTTAAAAATCTATTAGATCAACCATAAATAGCAATAAAAAGACGTTAGAAAAGTCCCAAACCAAAGAAATCAACTTAGTATTGAAACTTAAATTACAACAGTCCCACTTCAGTGCAAAACTAGCTCCTGCACGTTTTTTAAACTCATTGGCTCATGCTCACCCTATATACAGAAGTCCCCCCCTGCAAAGTCATGATGGGCTGAATATCTTCTACAAACAAGAAATTTTTAGATGACATCATAAAATTACACATTAAACTTACAGATGATAGACAGGAACATAGGAACATATATTGGCTTACCCACTGTACATATCTATTTAAAGCTTTAAAAGAAGAAGAATATACACAAAATATACACTTAATTCACAAAGTAAAACAGCCCTCAACATCTCATATTTTGTAGGGCTATGCATTTCTTCTATTAAAATTCCACACATGGAGCTATCTCTGTGCCAGCTGCTCTTCGTAAGCAATAGGATCACTTCAAGGTAAATTAGTTCTTCGTGTATATGTAACAGAAACTGCAAAAGCTCAGCCTCTAGTCATCACTGTCGCTCCCAGACTCACTCAACTGCAAGTCGTTTCCTACGGAAAACAAAAACCAACAAAAAAAAACAAGCGGGTAGGTGTTAATTCACATTTCATGGCAATCAAACCAAAGAACAGTCACATTTACACTGGAAGATTTAAATAAGAATAACACAAGAAATGAATGCAAACATCATCTGTCATTTAGTGGAACTGCTCCCCATGCCCAAGAACATTAAGAGCTGCATGGGGCTAACACACAGTGGGATCCAGGCCAAACCGAGTGTATTTGGCTCCACAGCCACCAAAGCTGCTCCCTGGTGGGAGAAGAGCAGTCCCCACGCTAGCAGCTGCGGAAGGCATTCCACAGCCTCCACCCAGCCAAGCTCCCGTATATGGCTCTTGGACAAGGCAATGGCGAATTCCCTGGCCTTCTCGGCCCTTTTAAAATAGATTTTTTTTGTTTTAAGGCCATTTGGGTAGCCAAGGCAAGGCCTCCACATGTCAATAAACCAAAAGGAATGTTAAAGCCACCGCAACTCAAGGCTATCGGCTGGACTAAGCTGACACACGCTGTGACAGTGAAGGCCTCCCTCCAAAGCGCAAAGAGAGATCAAACAAAAGAAGGCCAGGATATGGATCAAACCTACAGTCTCAGACCCTGTTTTGCAGAACACTTGTGATCTGGCGAGGTGGAGGGGATAAAAGGGGGCAAGAATTTTGCTTGTATTCTGGTAACTGAACTTTTCCAGCACTCTCCCATGGCCCTGCCCCAAGCAGCTGCAGAGCAGCTATGCAACGGCTATGCCCTGGATATCTTCATCTCCTCATTGTTATGAAACAAGAACTTGGGTTAGGGGTGATTGTCCCCATGTAGATGGTCACCAGTGACTTGAATGCTCAAGGACATATTAATCCTTGGGAAAAGGATTTTAAATCCAAAGGCAAAAATCATTGCCTGAAAAAAGGAGCTACCCTACCAGTTCCCAAATTCTCCTGGAGTCAGAGGTTTCTTGACATTCAGTGACCAATGCAATATTGTTGTCATGGCCCAGGAGAAGCAGGGAAGAGGCAGCTCACAACCAGAAACAGGGAAATGGAAAGAGTCCTACTGGCTTTGTTGAACTTTGGATTTCACACAGACATTCATTACTGACAGGCCTCTCCAGTTTTCCAGCAGGCCTTTTCAGTATTGTCTGTATAATATACTTGTCTTCTTGAAGCTGGAAATCCTACATTTATCTGTATTTAAACTCCACCAATTCCCTATGCATGGGTGCCAAGAGATGTACGCAAACATGCCTCGGGAGGAATTAAGAACACTTTATCATAACTAAGTTCTAGTTTCTTATAAATGCAGTATTTTAAATCCGCTGAGTTAGAATATACCTGATCCAGCATAAGGGAAGAGTAACACAGATGTACACCATCTCTCCAGAGAGAGTCTCGTGGGACAAACCCAGGCTTTAAGAACATTTTTTACACTTTTTAAAGGGTGGAGGAAGTTTGTACTGATTCAATGTTTGCAAATGCCACAGCTGTAATATTTTAACCAAATATATGGCACTAAATTTCCCTTCAAAATGTGACATTTGTGAAAACACAGTATAGAGTAAATACTCTAACAAAGCAATACAGCTAATAACAAAGACCACAGTGACTGTGCATTTATGACCACAGGACAGCCTTGTGCCATTCACAATTCTTTACAGACCTTTAGCTGACACAGGTGACAACCCCACTATTTATGTCTAATCTGTGTTTTCACATTAAAATAATTCCCATCCTTCAGTGCATCAGATTCTCCCACACTGATACTTTTCTACCCGCTCATTCCACCTGGAGGCCTGAATCAAGGCTCAGCATGGCCATTGCACTGATGACAACAGGCTCTAGACCAAACTGAAGCAATCTCCCCACCTTCAAACAGGTCTTGGCCCTCTGTTCAAAAAACCTGCTCACATATTTCAGCCAGTGCAACTTCCTGGGATTACTGTTTGGCAGACTGCACTTCATGGAGTTAGCCTAACATGCTAAGAAAATGAGTGGTCTCAAGCAGCTTTCCACAGAGATAAGACACAAGGCTTTACTTACGGAGCGTGTTCATGAGATGATTGCTTCCTTGTGGCCTGCTGGTGCCGTTAGCAACAGCATTCCTGTTGTTATACTGCTGGTGCGGTGGCTGGGAAGGCGAAACATGTGCTGGCTCTTCCCCCTCACTGCTGGAGCTTTCATCTTCACTCCCAGATGAGCTTTCTGAATCCGATGAGCTGCTTCCACTGCTGCTGCTCATCTGCTCAATAATTTCAACCTCTGCTCTCAGCTCTGAAATAAAAGGACATTCATCTGGGTGAAAGCATAAACAGGGCCCCATGGAATTTTGGAAAAGAACGTGAAAATGAAATAGTTTTGTCGAGTATAATTTATCACATCAAAATATCTCACATGAAAGAGAGAGACAGGAAGGAAAACCAAAAAAAATCTGAAAGCTTTTTTTACTTAGTTGTTGTAGCTAGATTTATAGAAGCAACAGCACAGGTTAGTATCATAAAACCTTCACTTCCACTATTACTATTTACATACATTACACTCCTGAAAGAAATTCCTGCTTCATTATTTCTGACAGGTTATATTCTCTACGTACAAAGTAAGTACATTTCCTGACTTCTACAGGCCAACAGCCAGCCCATTTTTTAAAAGCATCTTTAAGTGGAGGAATCTAAATTGTTAGATGTCAGTGACATTTAAGCTTTTGGAAAACACAAAATGGGGAGGGGGGCATAGGCACATGATCACAACAGAAACTGCCTTGACTTCAGATAATGTATGAAACTGCTCCAGTGCAAAGTCACACACCTCATTTTGAACAAAATTCAGAAGCAGATGGATGACATCAGATAACTCTGCAGTGGGGCAGATGAGAACAGATGAGAATATTCACATGCTGGGGAGTGGTTATAATACCTTAACCCGCTATAAAGCTTACAAGTAGCCAGTAAAATCCAGAGTCTACTCTGAAACTGGGAAGTTATTCAAGTCAGACACACCCCACTTCAGGGTTGCCAGTGCAAAGAAACACTGGAATACCATGACAGCACCATGACTGCCGCATCAGCAACAGCTAGTGTTGGCTGAACGACTGGTTACTGAACAGCTATTACAGTAAGTCACCACAAATCATATCGTATTGTTAAATTTGTCATAATTACAAGTGGCCTAAACACTATTGGAGGACAATTCTTTTGTATCCACTCACAAAGTCAAGTATTTAATGACTCAGATCACCTAGGCAGGTTTCCATGAAAGAACAATATTCACACATATATTAAGCATAGTATGCGAAACCCTCAAAATTTAGGCTTTTGTTGTACTAGCAGTTCTATACCCACAGGGTTAGAATTCAGTGCTTGCCCTGGAGATGTCACAGGCTAAAGGGACAAGAATGAAAGAAGGGAGTGAGGAGGTTATTACCATCTCTAGCTGACAAATGGAGAACTGATGCCAGGAGTAATTCACCTTAGGTCAAATGTATGTCAGAGTGAGATGAGCCCCAGCTCTTCAGGTGAGGACATCATTCTTGCATATAGCATAGCCAGATCATGTAAAATGAGTCTTTCCTTTACACAAAACCAGCACAATTTTAATGCTTCTTATCTTCAGCCCCTGCAGGAGTAAGTCTGAGCAACTGGAACTCTTCCCTTTTTCAATAAGACCCATTTTCCTTGGGCTGCTTAACACTACAGAGTAACAGCTAAGTTTTCAGTTTCCACATTATTTGCTGGAGAGTTCCTCTAGCTCGGCATGTATCGCTTTTAGAAATTAAGTTTTCTTTTACTGGTTTTAAAACTGCCATTTTTCAATTTCAAAGTTCAGAGCTCAATTTCAAATGCTATAGAGGCAAGAAAGGTGTATTGAAAGGGAATAACCATATGACTAACGCCAGCGGCGTATTTAAGGATACTGGGGTTGTTCCTCCAACTTACTTCCTAAATCTAGATCCCCAACTAGACCACCTGTGTTCTCTGTACTTTATTTGCATGCCAGGTAAAACTTACTCTTTCACCTTGAAGACATAATGCAAGAGACCGTTGGAAGAGGGAGGAATAATATATGATTAGGCCAACAGAAGATGTTATTTTGTACTGTAATGTCTTTCTCCCTTATTCCCTCTCAACACAGTCTTGCAGGTTTTAAAAATCCATTTCATGCATGGAATCTGATACACAGACAAATGAGCACTCTTAAGTCACTATTCTCAGCCTACCCACATCAAGGATTTCATATGGTAACTATTCAGTGTTCAAGGCTAAGAAATTCATAGGGAAAGCTGAAGGAAAGGTAAACAGAAATAAGGACTCTTTTCCTTTAAAATGCCCAGATTTAATTTTTTTTTTCCCTAGCTTAATGGTGTAAAATTTACACATACCTCTAGCGATGATTAGAGTTGTTAGTTGTAAGTTCTATTGATACTACTACTAATATATTGTTAGAATATTCTGAACTGTAGCAAGCACAATCACCTATAGACCACTGTCCACACTGCAAAAACATTCAATAAATAAGTCTTATAAAATAAAGTGTCTGAGAATTACACACATATGCTTACAGAGCTACAGAGTCTATGGCTGAAATGGAAAAGTGTTGGCACACGGGCTGAGAACAACAAACACAGCATGCCAGAAAGCATCATACAAAATAGTGTGAAGAAGGTGAAGCAATCTAAGAGGCATTGGTGGTGAAAGGGAAAAGCTGCAACGACAAATGCACTTCAGAGAACTAGGAAAAAAAAAAAAAATCTAAACAAGAAGTTCGAACTTGATACAGCAGCCGAGGAGATAACCGAAGGAAAGAAGTGATGCAGTCTGACAAATGGGAAAGGAAGATTAGCCTTGCTAATTTTAAACAGAATTACAGATTAGTGTCAGATTGAAAAGTGAGGATTTTCTGCTGGAGAAGCAGAAACTAAAAGCCCATAAAAGAGGCTTGGTTACGAGGAGGGGAAGGGAGGATGCTTTGGAAGAACTGGTTAAGTCCCACTATGCTAAATGCAGGAAAAGCAAAATAGCGCCAGTATCACAAGTTTCAAGGACTGGTAAGTTAAGGGTGTTATCAGTGACAGTGGCGACTGGTGGAAAGTTGGTCTGAGACCATCTTCTAGTCAACTCTTGCCTCACAGGCTGTCAGCTTCCCCTTAGGTGTCTCTTAATTCCTTGAGCCCAGAATTCTGAACAACTCGTCTGTGCAGATGAGGAAAAAAAGTAATTGTTTTCACTAATGTTATGGTGGCTACTGCATTGCTAAAAATCTGTCAGGCAGGACTACTAAGGAAGTCTGTTCAAAACCCTCTTGTGTCACATTGTCAAAGATGGTGGCTAAGCCAATGATGACACCAAGGCCTTGTAGGAAAAACATATCCGCTTTAAAATCATGCAATTTTGCATTTTCCTACTTACTTGTTATGCTTAGTGCAGTTACAGGTACTGAAGCCTTGACTAAACATTTCCTTGTGGTGCCTCCAATTAAAACAGTTGTTAGTGTATATGTGTACATATATGCTAAGCTGAACAACGAGTCAGACTTTTCCTGGATCTTTTTGTGCCGTAAGATCAAACGCCTCATGTTGATGCACTTTTAAGGTTTAAAAGATGAAAAGAGTTAGGATGTGCAGCATTTACTTTTAAAAAAGCTTTCCGTATAGTATAGTTTTGGACACTTGCCTTAATTGAGCCTACGTCATCTGAAAAGGCTGACATTGCTAGGGGAACCTTAATTTGTGCATGTTTAATGTTACAACTGTAGGCTTTCTTTCAAGAAAACAAAATGGCTTACTGTTTTACACTGACAATCAATGGAGTCCTTAGAGTAAAAAAAAAAAAAAAAAAAATCAAGGTCAGAAATCATTGTACAAACAGAACAGCCTTTCTCAACAGGGCTGTCTTCTGTATGTATTCAGTATCAAATGCCCTAATTTCTTTCCATAATCATGGCTAAGGGTTCTTACTTCTTCCCTCAATTCCAATAGGCTATGCAGAATTTTTAACTGAAGCCCTAACCTTGAGCTGCAAGAATACCAAGGACCTTTGGAAATAAAGTCATTCAGCTTTAGGGAGGATAAGGTTCTATGCCTGTCACAGAATGCTTACTGTTAATAACGGTATGCAAGGGGGAGAAATCAACTTGATACTGGCACTTTGAGCATGCGGAGATGACAGCTAGAAAAGGCAGTTATTTTACACTGAAGTGCAAAAAATTTGATTGAGGTGTTCTTGAGAGACAAACACAGTGCTATGGCATAATCCTTACACACTACAGCTGCATTTTAGGTAAACAAGATCTGCTCAGATTTTTAAGCACTGAATTTAGAGTCTCCCAACCAGAAATACGTCTGTAGTTTTTGGTTTTTTTCCCCCCAAGTACAGCATGCTGTAATTATGCCAATGTTATTGAAAACATTTCTGCTGTGGTCAAATATGTCTGATAAACAGCGATTATTTCATGCGCTTAAATGGTTGTATTGTGGTATATGTGTGTAAATGCTCACCGCTTAATGAAATGTTATCAGATGTAGCCAATTATTCAAAAGAACAAGCTCTTACCCTCTCTTCTGCTCCTTTCGGGCAGGAGGACAATATAAAAGCTTGCAGGGGAAAAGATTCCTCTGGCGCAGGACCCTAGGCACAGCCTCCCAAAGGCCCCTCTGCATGAAGGAAAGGACTGGTTCAACTCCCACATGCTCTGACTGTGTCCTCAGGCACTGCTGTTAAGACAGCTGTGTAATGGGACAGAACCAACCTACCTGAAAGTTCGTTTCCCAGCTCATCTGTAAGGGGAGCTATGGGAATGCACAGCTGAGGGTACCAGGGGAAAGCAGAAACCTGCACTGAGGTTATCTTAAAACTAATGTTAAATATCACGAGGGCTGTGTGTCTTACCACACCCTTAAGTAGGGCATACCGGGAGCAAGCGTCATAGCATCAGAGATCCTTTCAACCACCTCCTTTGGGGACTGTAAGGTTTGTGCAGTGTCCATTAAAGAGAAGACAGAGTTTCAGCTTTATGTTTATCTTTCCTTCATACAGATGAGGTACTTCACCCAAAAGAAAAGCTACTGCTTCAATGGAAACAACACAGCCTCTTCAGAACTTACAAGTCTTTCTTCATAAAAAGACACATTAAGGGAAGATAACAGGACTGAAGACTCTCTCACAGCTTTTACAATTAAGTTTTATTAATTATTCCATTGTAGAATGGTGCCATTTTAGTTCTACCTTTCCAAAAGTATGTTCTTATGATATAAATGGTTTAGTAATGTTGATGCTCTAGATAATCGATACTGGAAAAGTTAAGAAGAGCACAGACTGTAAGCAAAAAAAAAAACCCTGGTCAAGTATTAGTGCTCTTTTTGGGTCTTGAATGAATCTCCCTATAAAACACCAACTTAAAGTCCTATTTTTAGTACAAGTCAGGTGTTCTTGATTTTGGACACAAAACTCTACAGGTTATTTATTTGGAGGTACTTTCCCATAAAAAGTGATCAAGTGGCAAAAAAATTACTAGGACGTTTCTAAACAATGTGACTTATATTTTAGACCACTAGAAAATGGTCTTTGTAGGACAGATGTCACATCAGGCAAACGTCATTATTTTACTATAACATGACCTTTACAAGTTGCTGTTTATATACAAAAGAGTGCCCCAGTAGTTAAGTAACTTATAACACAGTACAAGAAAAGACATTTAAAATTCACAACTGATTTAATTTTTAAACGGATATCTTATTTTAAATGGATACCTGTTATCTTTCTCCTTACCTATTACACAGAAAATAAAAATGGCAATGCAGCTAAGGGAGCTGTAGCTAACAGATTCTCAGACAATGATTCTGTCTGCTGACCAGTGTCCAGGTATTGAAAATACTACTGCTGTGAGAGAGTGAGACCAGTCAGCACCTATGCAAACACACAGATAGCTTAGCAGTAAAAATGTCACCTGGTGATTACCATGAACTGAAAAAATACCCTGCTAAGTAATTAACATAGTCTGGGCAATTAACATAGGCTAAGTCTACAGGCAAAAATAGCTATATGGGACAGAAGAAAGAAAAAGAGGCCCAGAAAAAAATATTAGACAGAAAGGACAATCTTAAAATAAAATAATTGCATCTGGTGCCAGACAAGAAACAAGAGAAACAAATAAAAATTTAAAGTCCTCCTTGTTAACCACAGCAAATCCAGATAACAGATCAGTATGAAAAGAAGGACATGGGCAAAGAAAGTGCGCCCTGCCCACAGTGAAACCCTGAGATAAAGCATTGCTTGAGTAGGAGACTGAGTTGAGACAGTCATCCCTTCAAGGTACTTTAATAGAAGTATAGCAACTGTATGGCAGATGTGATCAAAGCTGCAGAGGAGTGGTTGTGGTAAAGGGGAAGCCACAGGGTTGTCTGCTCTCTCATCCCTCCCCTACTAGCAGTGCTTGGCACTGCACAAGCTCCAGGTCTTCTGATGGAACACAGCCATCCGGCCCTTCCATCCCACTGGCAAACGGCTCCAATCTTACTCAGTACTCAGCACAGGAATAACTTCCATCCAAGTTACTTCATTGCATAACTAGATCTTGGACCATTAGCTTTTGTTGTTGTTGTTGTTGCCTAAGACACCCATTCAACTCATCTAGCACTCAGCTACAGGTTTCTGAATTCACACTTATTTTATCTTCTTTTCAGAACAGAGAAATAGTTTGGAAGAGAGAAAATTATCCAGAAAGAGAAAGATCTCTCATGCCAGAGACGACTGCGGTATAAATATCTATGCTGGCAGAAGAGAATAAATACTTCACTAAGATGCCTTAAAACAAGATAAAAAGATGACAAACCAGCTGTCAAGTACCATCTTTTAATCCCTGAACGTTCTAACATTTTTATAAATTGTACAGCCATAGTTTTTTATTATAAAGAAGAAAGACAAAACCAACCAAAACTCAGGAAACTACAAACCCTTCTTTACCTCTCTTAATGTCATCCAGCTGAGGCTCAGGTGAAGGATTATCTTTCAAAGGAGAAGTTTTAGGTCCAACTGCTGGCTTGGCTGGGGCTCTGAACTGTGAAGGAGGCTGAGATGCTCGGGCAGACTGTTGTTCTATTCGGGCTTGGATCTTACTGCTGCCCTCTGCTCTGAAAAAACCACCAGAGACATTCAGTGATGCTGTGCAACTATATTCTCCTTTTTCAATATCCTTGTACTAATGCATCATCCGTACTTCCTTTCGTATAGATCTCTACTTTGTTTTATAAAGATAAACAGTGAATTACGGCTTTCTGTATGCAACGCTTGCTTTCAATAAGAAATAAGCATATACACTGCAACACCCTTACAAAATGTATTTTGAAATCCAGATGTGGTTCAGTGGTGCCAAATTCTCTACTTGAAGAACAATGAAGGCTTTAATTTAGAAATTAGTATTTGTATTTTTAAAAAAGAATAAGCAATCACAGTAATTTAAAGTAACTACATGATAAAACAAATCCACTCATAATAAAATCCCGCTGAAAACAATCACAGCAAAGAAACAATTTTCTCACTTGCCATTAAAAAAATCTCAAACTGAACTCTTAGAGGTCAACCCAACTACAGCAATCATTCTTACTGCTAAATACAGCATGCAAGCATTTAATTCCTGTTTTTCATTCACTTGCTATTATCCCTTAAAAACAGTTTAAGCTGTTTCCTCAGTGGGAAATACTCACCAGAATAACACCATGCCTAGCTGTTCAGTTCAAATCAGATATTTCTTCCTTTTACTGAATCAATGATGTGATTGAGACTGTAGGACAGCCAATACCCTTAGCAGAAAAAACAACAAACCCCACAAAAAATACTTGTTCAGGTCCCTCTGTGGTACACCATAATGAGGTTAAAGTGTGTGGCATACTTATCTCTTAACACCAAAGCCCTTGGGGTTGTGGCTTTATGTACTGTACCACAGAAGAAGCTTATGTGGACATTAGAGCTCAGTTTTTGTTCTAGGAGGGCCCCATCTCAGCAATGTGATACTTTGTGCCTGTGAGCTAATCCCACTGAGAAACAAGTTAAAGTAGTCCATGCAGAACTTCCTGGGACTTCACTTAAACCGGTTCTGGTACCTGAGCTAGTACCTTTAGCACTAACTCAGGTACCTCTGTGCCTCATTGAATTGTAGATGCAACCTCAAAAATTAAGCACAGAACCACCTCTTCATTCATCACTGAAATGCAGCTATTAGATACCACATTAATGCAGCTTACACAGTCATTTACAATAGAAGTGATGATTTGGGAATACACTCACTGTATCAAGTGAAAGGTAAAAGCAAAAGATTGTTTCCGATATTAATTATGATCTTGGAACTACAGAAGGTTCTACGTAGAGTAAGTGCAGTTACTCCCCTGTGAATTTCATCAGGATGTTAACACCAAAAACGCTGCTCTCACAGAGTGTCAACAGGTCATTAAAGATCAAAGTCACCATGAAAATAAAAGATGCTTCTGATCTAGAAAACTGAATGACTTTACAAAGCACTATTCCTTAAAACAGGGATCCCCAATTTTTTACTACCCTGCCTCTCCTTGAGAAAAGTCAAAATATTTTTCACCTCACCAGAGCCAAAACTCAGCAGATCTAAACACCTCACTGAACCCAAGCCTTCCTGCACTTCTTTGCTCCCTTCTGACTTAAGCTTCACCTGGACAAAGTCCAGCAGAACTTAAATTGGGAATGCAAATCTCATGCATGATGTGCTCATATCAGTAACTGGGCAAGTAACTGGGATGAGTTTTCACATCTTTGATTCAGAGGAGTGCTACAGTCCATTTACCTTGAACTCAAGGTGTTTTTGGCAAACTTCCAGCCAACTGCTGATAAGCTGCAACCCACATTTCTTGTAGTTTCAGCAGCTGAAAGTTCTACACTGGAATAAAGTGTTTTTTCTTTTTTTTCCTTTTTTTTTTCTTTTTCTAATGTAAAACTTGTAAAATTTAATTAAGAGCTGCTTCTTCAGGAGACATTTGAATAACTGCCTTCTCTTTAGATCTCAATAACCCAAGTTCAGTGATGCTGAAAGAACATGATCCAGAGACTTCAGGTACCTGCAGAGCAGCAAAACTACTAAAAATGCTCACTTTGTAGCATTTGTGCAGTGAAGTAAGAATATTGGGTCAGAGAGGATTTCTGGCCCCAGCAATTCGTCTAGGCAAAAACCTTATAACCACTATTTCTACAGTTTCCCTCCACCCCAGCTGGTGGCTTTGGACTTGTATTTCACTTGATATACAGGGATGAGTGTTTCTTGTTCCCTAAGAGTATATTATTAAAATCATGACTCCAACAGGAAGCTGTAGGGAACAAACCTAGAAAGTCCAACAATCATTTTGACAGCCTAACATTTCGATGGTCTTTTTCAGTTAACCAGAGATTCCTGAATCCTTCAACCAGCTTCCAAAGCTTCAAATCATCAGACATGTTTCATTGTAAACTATAATTACGTCCTTTCAGCAGTGGAGAATTTACAAATTCTTTAGTCTTGGATTCACACTCTTATTTGCATTTTTAGGCAAGATAATTGGCCATGAAAAGCCCGTAAGGCATAGCAATTAAACACCACTACAAAATAAAAGAAAACTGAGTTCTGGTTCAAAAGACAGTCTGAAGAAGAAATTTCAGCAAGAATTAATCCTAGCAACAGCCCTGTCCCCAGCTTTACCTTGTTTTCTTGACTTGAATGCTGCTACTAAGTTTTTCCAGCACATATTCCCCAGTGTCATGATTGATAATAAGCACACAGTCCTTCTGATATGGCCTTTTATTTCCTTTAAACACAGTCATTGGTGGAGTTGAACCCTGGTATCAAAGAAAGAGCACACATTTCTTTGGTTAAATTCCCCTACTCAAAAGTTTATAAACACTAAGAGAAATGAACATATGTATTGTTCTGACCAAGAGGCAAAGCAGTTAATGTCTAGTTCATTGTTTATTATGTTCATTCATGAAAAGGGAAAAATACAGTTATATGCAGTAGATCAGATGTTTCCTCATAGCAACATTATGCCTTTCATCATTTTAAATGCCTCTGCAGTGACAAAACACCTTCTCCATGGTTGCCATTATTTACAGTTCTCATTCCCAAAATGGTAACATAACTGAATTTGCATAGCTGGCCCTGACAAGTGTCAGAAATCTTCTTGACATTTCTGCTCTGGAAATCTTGGGTTTGGATAAGAAATAAAGTTCTAATTATTTGTGTATTAGAACTGTTGCCTAAAGAAATATGTGGTCAATTGAAAAATAATTTAAACTGCTTTGTAGTTTATATATATATATGTAAAGGCAGTATTTTCATAGTGGATGACAAGCAACTGTCACAAGCTATGTAAGAACATCTGCCTTCTTCAAAGTCAGATTAGCACATAGATGCCATGCAATTATAGCGAAATGTCTTCTCAAAAGCAAATGGGGTATTTTGATGCCTTCCAGGAAGTCCCCAAGTCCACACAATGCTGCATAGAGCCATAAAAGTCTAATGGCTTAGACTGAGAAGCCATAAAGACAAACTCATGTAGCAGTGCACGCTGGCTAACTGATACTTCTGAGATTATGCTCAGCTGTACTGCATCCCTGCCCAGGCTGGCTAATACACCTGGTTTTGGGGTTACAGGAAGGAGAATTTATGGTCTATCAGCACATAGCAGCACAGATACACACCTGGCCATGTCAAAAAAGGACATGTTACTCACAGGCAATATACAGAAATATGTTCTCAGCTACGAAACCTTCTCACATTTCTCTGTAATGTACAGCTACTGTACAAAAGAAATTTTAAAAAATGCAGTAGAAAAGCAACCAAAATCAGGGAGAAAAGGAAAAAATGCACTCTTCTACATTTTATTCTGAGTTGCAAAAATGAACAACCATATTTTAATGACTCAGAATGCAATTCTTATTCTCTGTCTTGCTAATAAATAGAATATGTTTGAATTTAAAATGGCTTCAGAACAGTAAGGGTGAAAAATCCGAATTCTCATCAAAGATACAGTAAGAGATATAGATACGATTCATAAAAGATGTCTCAAGAAAGTCTAGTCTTCAAAGGCATGTTACATTTTTATCATTCCTACATTTAAGAGAGGAAAACAACATTTAAGAGAATAAAAAGCAAGCTGAAAGTAAAATCCTGCTTGCTGTTGACAACTAAGTCAGGAAATGTATAATGCACAAATTTACTGAAAATTTTTCCAAAATTGATTCTGCTACCCAGAAGCCTCCGAACTCAAAGACTGTGATTCTGGCTAAAAAAATACGTAGAAATGGAACTCTGCTTAAGCAAATTAAGAGTCCTACCCTTCTACTTAAAATAAATGTTTAGATTTTATGTTGGTGCCTAAATAACACTGGCTTACAGATTCTGCTAATTATAGGCTAGAAGAAGGAAGGTGAAACAAGTGACATTTAATCAATTTGTTTTCATGCGTGAGGGTTTTTTAACAAACAGAAATTCTTCATTTCTCCAACCAAGACTGTTAATCAAATATTAAAGCCACTAAATCCACATGTAGAAATAGGACTTCGATTTATCCAAGCAGCAAGGGACACCAAAATATCTCCACTGAACAAATTATCTGAGATATCTTCAGGCACCAGACAACTTCAAAAAACAACTTAGAATCTGAATCCTATCCAGTTGTTGGGGAACTGAGAACCAAAGCAGAATCTAAAAAATTCAGTAAATCTTGTCAGGATGAAACGATCTTAAAACTTTTCACTCTTTACCAGTATGTTCAGTGTTTTCCAGCTCTCTGCCTGGAACACAGGCAGCACTGCCTTGGAACTACATAGGCACAGTGGCTGCATTCAGTGCAGTTAGCTGCCCAAGCCTCCGAAGCGTACTATAAGCTTAAAGCTGTTCATACTCATAGGAAGACAATCAAATTAAACTCATCAGTACAGAGATTTGGAACAGGACATTACAAGTGATGTTGTTCAACACAAAAGATGAATGAACAACACTGTTCCCAGTCAATCCAAGACGAATGCCACCGCTATTAATTGTATTGTTGCCTGCTCTCACATAGCACTACCATGCTCATAGGTTTTATAGACTAAAACCAGTATGTGACCTCCTGCAGCACTAAAGGTCACCAAAACCATAGAAAAAAAAAGGAGTGGGGGGAAGCAGGCTAAAGCCTCATTCAGTGGGAATTACCACAGTACCATCACCTACCAATTAAAACACCAACATGCTAGAATAAACAATACCAAAAGGATCTGACACATGGCTTCCAAACTGACTGGTGCCCCCCTGCAACCACCAAACTCATCAATGTCTCTGAATTCTGGTTGATTGGCTTGACACATAGCATTCCAGTTCCAGCATGCAAGCACTTCCTTTTGTTTTGGTAAGGAAACCACTGAACCTTCAAATACAAAACATCCGCACCTATAAACAGTTTGATCACTTGTTTTATTGCTGTTAGACTGCCATCCTCACACAGTAGATCTTTATGGCATAATTTGAGTAGGAAGTGGATGGGAAACCACTTCATTGCCACTCACCAGAAACCACCCCCCTCGCTTCCACTGCTAAACCTAAAGGCAGGGAACCCTCTATGCTATCTGTACACGTTTTAGTAATGGGAAAAATATGCTTACAGACCTACCTGTGGCTTCTGAACATCAAACTTTGACTAAAGTCCAAATTACTCTGCCTTCCTCCATTAAGCCATAGCACTAAAGACAGATGGAAACCAGGTATAGAGCTTCAGCTAACAGTAGAAGTCTTCTTGTTATTCAAGGAAGAGTAGGAAGGAATCAAAAGTAAATAACAGACTGGAACCTTACAAATATAACCCTTTACAAAGATTCAATTGTACAGTCCTTTTCTAAGGTAACACACTACAAGTCTGGCTGCTCAAATATTGAAGCCACTTGTATTAACAAAGATGAAAGCGAAAATAACATTTTCATTAGACTGTAACTACATTGCAAATTTGTTGGAGAGTAAACAAGGACACGTATATAACAAACTTACTGGAATATGCGGCAAAGTGATTGTTACGTCATCTCCTTTACCCACTTGGAGGTCCCCCTCACAAGATGTATCAATTGATGCTGGCTTAAAATCATCTAAAGAGGAAAAAAAAAAAAAAGCAATTACATTTTTTAGAGTCTTCAGGAGTGTCATCCTGCCCTGCAAAGAGTCACTGCACTTTTACTGTGATGATAAGGAATGCTAAAAATATATGCTAGTGTTTACAGCAGGGGTGGAATAACGCACCAGGACGATGTGCCTATGCTCAGTACCCTGGTATCAGATTCTGAACTTCCTGTTTAAAATGGAAATAAGGTTCTAGACCTCGTATTTGAAGACCAAAAGCAGAATTCCCCAAACTCCAGGCTTTGAGTGACACTTAATTTTGCAGGCAAGTGTAAAACTCTACCATGCATCTCAAAAGAGTATCAACTTCAAGACCCAGGGCTCTCTGTGGCTTCTGCCAATTCCAAACTTGCAGACTCTCTCTGTGACAAAGACTAATTTAAATGGCACCAACTCATTTAGCCTTACTGATATTTCTGGCTATTTAACAGCCATCTTGCCTCCACAATACGTCCTCAAGGATAAAGGAGACCTCAGATCTCACCTATGAGGAAAAAAGAGGTGCTGATCTTACTTCAACAGGCTCCATGCTAGTCGAAAGCCACTGTGGATAGAAAGCATGACTAAGGTGAGACACTGTAATAGCTTTAAACTAACCCTAGTTTCAAGTATTTTTGCTGCATTGTATAGAATGCTTTGTCCCCCAAACAAGGCACTTCTCTTCAGTGTATTTATTTGAACTAAGAACATGTTAACTTACAAGTATCTTCCCCTCATTATTCTGTCGTGCTGCTGAGCCACAAAAGCCACAAAGAACTATCAGAACCAGTAGTATTTTGACAGAGGATTTAGACAAAGTGAAATAAGATCAGAGAGATATAGGTTGTTTTCTTTGTTTTTAAAATAAGCCTCCATTCAATTCTAGTATCTCTGGATATACAAAGGTGCAATCATATTCACAATCAAGGCTTTTAATTACTGCATTAGTTAAGAAATTAATACCGCAGGACAAATTTTAAATAAATTCCACTGTGAAAATCACATTTGCAGAAAAAAAACACAAAACTCCAGCTTGTAATAAATTCTCATTAAGAGGACATTAATGTCTAATTGAGTTTTACGTTGACAGCACAACAAGCAGAATCAGGAACACTTGACTTAATCCTCATGCTTTAACTGCCAGACCAAATCATACCCTTCATTTTCATCTAAGCAATCTATTTCTAGCTATTGTTTCCCACCTACTTTATGTGCAAGCTTGCTAAATAAAACAAACCAGCTGTACAAGAGCTAGTGTCTGCCAAAAAAGGGTTCAGGAGTTTCAACATCACAGCCATTAAATTAAAAGGAATATCACTATCACACTTCTTTCATTGGTATCAGCAAATTATAGTTACTCTAAACAACCACTCAACAAATTGTTTTCATTTAGTTAGCTTACTAGGTGTATGTGCTTGGCTAATCTTGCTGTAGATAAAGTGCACATATGTCCCTCCAAGTGTACCCATAGTCTTTTTTCCAAGAGTCAAATGTTTTTAAGATGTGTTTTCCAGGGATAATCCAGTTTTTCACTACAGTATTTCATAAACACATGGAAAGGAATGAAGTATTTTAAGAAGGCCTAAACAAATTTAGCCCACAAAATCCTCTTATTGTAGTTTGTGTGAAGAGGATTACAGGAACAATATAATGCTTGGATCCCAGATAAATCATTCCAGATCAACAGTTAGAAACAAAATTTATAACTGGGAAATGAAGAGATCTCACTTGAAAGTCAGTGATGGAAAACACAGCACACAGAAAGCTCTTTTGAAATAAGACTGCATTCTTCCAGCTGCAGTCTGAAGAGCTTTGGCTTTGCAATCCCTTAGGAAATTGATTATTGAAGCACTTCAGTTCTAGAAATCCAGTGTATTTCTATCTGGTTACGGGTTGGGTTTAATTAATACGCTATCAAACAACAATCTAATTCATTTGATAGTTGGGCTATTTTAAAATGTTGATTTATAAATGGATATTTGCTAGTGCGTTAGTGCTGGATAAAACTGTTCAGTGTTACGTACAAACAGTTAAAAGTACTAAACATATGGTATGGTATTTTTTAGCATGGTGGAATTATGTATAACCAGAGGGGTGAAACACACAAAATTTGTGTTAATCCACTAGACAGAGTTTCCTATTGACCAAAATAGCTTTGCCTCAATCATTAACCATCTGCTTGAGTAACAGCTCAATCTAGAAAGCTGTTCTTTCAAGTCCCACTCGGGTGGCTACTATTACCAAAATTACTTACTTGTGGTGTATGAATACGGGACATGAGACTGGGCCTAGGATTATGTACCATGAAACAAAAAATCCCATTGTTCACCGTATAAATTCCCCACGTTAATACAAAGCTACTGAAATACAAGTTTAGTATTACTTTCATTTACTATTAGTGATTTACTACTTATTTTAAATCCTGGACTCATTTAGGAGATGAAAAAGCAATATCCTGCCCACAGAATTCAAGTACAGAGATAGAGTGAGCTACTCTTCAAAACAATCCTCTAACATGAAATTAGATGTACCCAATGCTAGAATAGAGCAGTTGGAATAACACCTGGTGTCCTTAACAAAACACATACTCTTCCAATTATTCAAAAACTTGGTAACTGCTCGAGACCCTACCTCTTAACACTTATCAGGCAGTACTGTATGTGAAATTACTGCATGAGTAATTTCTGCTTGCTTTCCTGGGAAGTGGCTTATTACAGCTGTCACAGCCAGGGACGGGGCTGCTGGGTTACCTGTTACCTCGTGGCTAAAATAACAAGTTAAAAAAAAAAAATTAAATAAAAAAATCAAACTGTGGGCACTTGGGCTGCCGCCCAACCCAGCACTGCAGGCACTCCCGCCAGGCCGGGGCCTGCAGGGTGACCTACCTGTCCTGCAACTGACATTAAAAATAAAACAAAACACAAATGGCAAGCCACCCCCTCATGGCGGGTGCTCCCAAGCAATTCACGCACGTTTCATGAAAGACTTCCACAAGTCCTTCGTCCCCCTTCCAGGCCTGCCTGCCTGCCTCAGATCTCCCTCCCGCCAGCGCTCTCGGCCAGCATCCACCTTCCCCCTCCTCCCCTCAGGCTGCCCGCCGGGGTGGGACATTTCTATGGGGAAAACACTCGTGGGAGGGAAGACGGGCGCTGGTGGAGAGTAGGGGGGACGACGAGGGATGGGACAAGGGGGGAGACAACAGGCGCTGAGACGAAGCCCTGAGGTGACGGCACGAAGGAGGCAGTGAGAAACACGGAGGAGGTGAAGGCTTCGTCGTGGCAGGCTGGAGGCCCCCGCAGGCCGGCGGGCAGGGGACGGCCCTTAACGAATAAGAA